GTGTGTGTGTGTGTGTGTGTGTGTGTGTGTGTGTGTGTCCCTAGCTTAACTGCCCTCTTGATGGACCTGTCTGTTGGCTTGTCAGTAAGACGAGGCTTCTGCCCTGTCCTTTAAGGTCCCTCTGAGTCTGACCGGCTCGACAGCAATATTGTGTGACTGAAAATGGGCCACAGGGTGAGTTCCGTTCCATACCTGAAGGGTGAAGGACAGCCATTGTCTCAAGGGTTCCACCAGTCTCTAGCTGACCAGGGAGGGAGGCCAAGTTCTAGTCCATATCGTTCTCTCACCCTTTCCAGGCCCTTCTCCTGGGATCCTTGAAGAGCAGTTGCAAGAACTCCCTTAGCTACAGATCTTCAGTCCGTGCAAAAATGGCTTTCAGGGGCCTTCAAGTATTTCCCCTTCTCTGCTCATTTGCCCAGACGCCAAACCACGAGTGAAATGGCAGGCACCCGTGCTGCAGCTGCGTCCAGCCCCGCTGCCTAGGTTGTACCCACTACCCCCTCCCCACCCCCACAGCTTTATTAGCACCCCAGCAGGGCTTAGTTCTGTAATTACAAGCCCTGATTGTCCGTGTCACCCACTGATACTTTCTGGTCCATTAATAGAAACTCCACAGAGTTTGTGTTCATTATTGGGCAATGAATGGCTGGCGAGACTTGCCATGTTTTTGTTTTTTTTCCACTGAGTAAACCGAAGGGAACCATTTCCACTTGTAGGATTGCAAAGGATGACTGCTTTCATAAACAATAACAGTTCATAAAGAAAACAGAGCCAAATTAGAAAGAGAGAAAGAGGCAGCCAGCCCCAGGCTCGCAAGGGTGGCTGACAGGCTGGGCAGCAGAGATGACAAAAAGCCAAAGATCAGAATGCCTTTCTCTTTACCTGGGGGAGTGAGATGCAGGTGATGGGAGCCCTGGGGGCCATAGGCATGCCCCTAGTCTCTGCTTGCCAGGGTACCCTGTCAGAACTACAGGGACCCCGTCCTCACCTTCAAGGGGGTCCTGGGGATATACTGGGTTAAGTGTTGAGCTGTCATGGCAGGCTAGGCCTATCAGGGGTCTGGCTGGCTAAAAAGTCTAATGACATTGGTTCCAAGGTGGCTCAGTGAGTTAAGCATTGGCCGGCTATCTGCAAGGTCAGCGGTTCAAACTCACTAGCTGCTCTTTGGGAGAAAGAGGCGTCTGTCTGCTTCCATAAACAGTGGCAGGCTCAGAAACCCCGGGAGCAGATCTGTTCCATCTTCTAGGTCCCTCTGAGCAGAATGACTTTCCTAACAGTAGACTTGCTGGTTTTGTTTTCTCTTCTCTCCTTCTTTCTCTTTCCCTTTCGATCCTCACTCACATTTTACGGTGGGGAGGTGCCATCAAGTCTTTTCCAGTGAACCCTCGTTTATCACGGTTAATCGGTACCGCGGTTAAGACCCTACCGTGATAAATGAAATTCCACGAAGTAGGATTCCTTATTTGTAAATCAAATATTTTCG